CACCCGAGGCCTAGAAGGATGGTCATCAACGCAACCCATACCGCGGCCTTACTGCATTTTGGCAATGTAACTTCACATAGGCTTCCTTGAGATGCTCCTGCCGCTGGTGGTTCCTTTGCTCGGCATCCCGCAGCATGTACCGTGCCGAATTCCAGTCCCATTTGAACCTCTCGGTGTAGTCGTGGTAATGGGGTTCTGCCTTGCACGCTCTCACAGGCACTCTATCGAACGGGTCCTCAGGCTCAGCTCCTCCGCTCAAGCTAACAGCGTCACTGCGCCACGAAATTACGAGACTTCAGGTACCTCCAAATGTCGTGGCCAGTGGATGCACTGGAATCGTCGGCACAGTAGGCCGGACCGAGCCCAGGAGGAGGGAGAGAAGTCGATTTCTCAGTGACTATGTGATCCTTCGCGACATCCTGAGACACTAACCTGATGCGGATAGAAAATCCGGAACCGAGAATTGCACCCCCTGTCTCCCGAATGATAGACCAACCACCTGTCCTACTTACCTGTATCACATTTTCTAGCACGGCTTCCACCTGAGACTCTATGACGAGGTCAGCTGAAGCATTCGATTCCACCGCCTTCCTCACGATTGACAGCGGCAACTTGACCACCTTATCAGCAGAACAACACCTCTCTCGCTGCGACCACCCGCCCAAGTTACTAGCTTTAACCGGACAATGGCTGCATCAGAATCGTCGAGAATCTCAACTTCTGGGGAACCCTCAACTGCCGCTCGCAAACGTCCCATCAGGCTTAACACGGTCAAGCCACTACCATGTACAACACCAAGCCCCCTTCCGGAACAAAGAGCCCTCAAACGATGAGAAACTTCACTATCAAGATAGATGAGATCTACCTTTCGGCTATGAGGTTAACAGCAGCTAAGTTAGCTGCTAACAAGCACCTGCGAGCCAAGTGCCTTGAGCAGATATTCGACCTGCTCGTTCAACCTCTTGCACAGCCAGGGCGAGCTGTAGGGGTGGAAGAGACAGCTGGGAGCAGCAAGGTTTGTAATATCTTCCTGCCCTAACAGTGTCTTTCTCCTACTAACGACCAAAGCTCACAATACTATCTTAATCGTTTAGTTCAATCGTTCAAAGTGAGAGCGTGTGGGTATATCTCGAGTACTATCGTGTGGCCGTCTAAGTTGCGAACCCGAAGTTGTCACCAGTGCCTAGGCCTCGCGGAGTTTGCTGATCATCACAGCGGGAGGCTTACTCGATGATGCAAGCAGCAGCAACAGGCGTATGGACCTTGCCGAACAAAAAGTTACCCTAGGCTGTTGCCGTTGGAGATGCCAATGAGCTATCACCAACACATTCTAGTATTCATGTAGCTTTATCCAGGAATTAAGCACCAAACCAGTCTTATAAAGAGATCGGATGTGTAATCTCTCATGCAAGCCAGCGTAGCTTCAACGGGGTACAAAACTGATTTCATCCGTTTTAAAAACACCTCGGGCGGGGCTCGAACCCGCGGCCACGGGCTTAAAAGGCACGCGCTCTGCCGACTGAGCTACCGAGGCTGGTGAATACAACACATCATAGAACGGATCAAAGTATGATTCATAGCGACAATCGAAAACAATCGAGAAAATCCTTCACCTACGGTTTGGCAGTTCAAACATCAATGATTCTCCAATAAATTCGGACAATTAAGATCACCATGATAAGCAACCTACCCAGCAGGCCGTTACCCGTGCGCCTGCTTATACCGCCTCCATGAAAGGCTCTTCCCCAGATCAGCACTCGGTATATCCTCCACAGTTCTCCCATGACCTCAGGCTTGAACCCTGCTGGCACCTTTCGGTCGGCCCTTCCAATGCGTCGATCAAGGCCGTTACTGTTAACGCGGCGACTGAAGTCCTGCGCCTCCGACAAAGTGCAAATCACCGTGCGCCGACTACCAAGGCTCCCTTCCTACCAAGCAGTGCCAGCTGCCAAACTCGAGCAGTGGTTTCCATGCTTGTTTCCCTTGCGAAAATCCGACAAAATCTCTTGAGTAAAGACGATTCAGAATCGACAATAAAGAGTGAGAAAGGCTTCAACTCTTGAAGTATTGCATGTGTTCGGCACATTCACTCCCCTCCTACCGACCAGCGAGCGTGCATAACAGAAGCATCTCGACGCTTGGAGGCATGGTAAACTGTAGCCATGTACCATTGTGTCGACTATCAATCAGTGATGTAGGATAAAAATCAATGGAGTATGAAGAGTTATAAAGTTAATATTATTCTATTTTGAACTATTCAAGTCTATATGGTATACACTGCTCTAATGCTAGTCTCCATCCGGATCGCACAGACAGAGAGCTTCACACTACTCCATCGAGACTAGACTCGCCCTCTTAACGCTGCTCGCATACACTGACGTTTAGAAAATGCATATTTATCGTTGGCTGTACTCAACCATGATGGTGCTCAAATTTCGATGTCAGCAGCAGCGGACCCAGCAGAGTCATTGAAAAACCCGCTCGACACTAGCAATGCCATAGCTTCATAGATCAGTTGATACTGGCCGGTCGTTTGCACCTATGAAAAATTTCGTACCCACCATCCCAGTCGAGTTACCATGAACGGTCGGCTGTTCCTCATATCTTCAACAGTTGCCAATACGCTCACTGATGGAGTCTCTTCCTCTGCTTTTCTCTTCTGCTCGAAGACCTCCGATACGAGCCTCTCTAGTGCTATGAGGCAGCCTGTTCTGCCGACCCCCGCACTACAGTGGACTAAAATTGGCGCGTTTGCCGCTCCTTCCCGGTTTAAGACTCTCTGACGTGCAGTGTGGAAAACCTGAGCATGAGAAACTGATTTCCCAACTATATAGCAAAAACTCATAGCAGCAAGCCGACGAAATTGGGCTCTAATTTCAAGAACAGTCGCTCTCCTGACCGACAACGAGAACGTCTCCTTTATTACTTTAAAGACTCTAACGAATTGATCAACCTCTGGTGTGCCATGGTCCGGCCAGGATAAGTACTGGTACTGAACGACCTGTTTAACACGAATAGAGGCGTCCCCTTGGACACTGAGTTCAAACCTGAACGGTATCTCGGCGAGGGTACCTCGCAGGTGTGAACGTACACTCGTTTAACGAGATTAAACTCGCTGCCAGGATCGTCCTCTTCATAAGCTACCGTACTCCCTCCTCCATAATGCTGATAAGATTCCTCCAACACAAGCTTCACGCGCCACGAAATTCCATCGCTCTCAAATGCCATACCTAGCGAAGGCACTTCCAACACCTCAACCGTCACGCGCCACAATATTACTAGCTCCCATCGGTGACGGCCAGTACTGTACGCATTTGTTCCTGCCGTCTTCTCGTAGTTGACAAAGTACGAATATGACTTCACAACTGATCGATAGAGGGGAAGCATCTCTCAAGCGAACCACTACTGCTACTAGTTAGTTCGGGTAGAAATTAGACTTCCAATAAAGTGAATGAGGAAACTCATGTAATGAGCAAGCCTACGAGTTATGCACTATCATCGACCAGAAGTCTTCTGCTGTCGACTGCAGTGGCGCTTGGGCCGCAATGAAGCCAGCATCGTCCTCCCCACAGTGAGCACCTCCTCCTATGTACCTTCACAGTGGCATAATCAGTACAGTACAAACGCCCTCCGCACTCCTACGAAGCATTGATGTATCGGTCACACTCGCCCCTCCCGACACGTGCTCTAGTGTCTTTGAAAGGGATGATATCCCTGCGTACCACTCCATAAGGAAGCTTCCGTACATCATACACTAACTACCTATACCGGTCCTGACCCTCCCCCCCTCGTTCGCACCTCCTGATCATCTCAGTCGTCTCGGTCATATACCTTCAATGGTGATGCAAGGAGGACCTGTTCTGTATCCGACCTTTCCTACCTCAGGATTCGGTACTCTAAGGCCAAGTCCCGCATTCGTAACTGCTCCTCAAACTGAAACAAAAACAACAACAACGTCCCTCCTTGTTCGAGAGTCCAAACACGTCGGCAGATACGGAGCCGCCGTGGACCATCACCACACTTAGGCTCGGCATAGGCAGGAGAGAATTTCAGAAAGGTGATGCTGGGTAATATCAGGAATTTAGTTGTACCACACCTCCTTCACTTCGCCCTATTACCATGTCGATCGGTATCGGCTGCTTCCATTCATCTGGGTTAACCCTAACGATGCTGCTGAGACTCCCATTAGAAGCAGTGGGAGGGGCCGTCATAGTAAACTTACACTGAGGCATAAGGACAACCTCAGTCGAGTTCTGTGAGCTCATCAGTCCGGCAGCTCCTCAGGCGCTTGTAACCACCACAAAACCCTCCCGAACTTGTGCGAACGCAACTCCACTATAGATTTTCAGAAATCAGTGGCTTCACTAACACTTCACGGCTTCACATGTGAGGGCACTAGACCAATTTCATATCATGCAGGTAGGCGACCACAGAGCTTCTGAATGAGCTCCAATAAAGGCGTGCACTCCTTCTGGTCGATCAAACTAAACTCCTACAATAGAACAAATGATGACCACTAAGACCAGCTATAGGTATACCATAACAAAGTACATGAAATGCTTGAAGGCGTTGTTGACATGAGCCTCGGCGCCAGAGTCCACGATCTGTGTGAAGTGACTGTGATACACGTGGGCGTAACTGGAGGCTCAACTACGGCGGTGACTGAGTACGACCAAGACTAGGCTACACTCGGAAGAGCCTTCTGAAGAGCTTCTTGACAGTTGGAATGAAGTTGCTAGGAAACGGCACACCTGTATGCCAACAAAGTAGAGCATCCATCGTCAAGGCAATGGCTGCCACCTTCCTCTGTAGGGAAGATAGTCTTATTTGCTAGATGCGAGTCCACCCATTTCATAAGTAACTCTGTATACCTGAATTCGATGTACATCACAGACAACAACAACAACGACAACAACAAAAAACGACGAAAACGACGAAAACGACAACAAAAACGACAAAAACGACAAAAACAACAACAACAACAACGAAAACAACAATAACAATAACAATAATGAAAACGAAAACGAAAACGAAAACGAAAAAGAAAACGAAAACGAAAACGAGAACAACAACAACATCGAAAACAACAACAACCACTCACACAGGAGCTGCACACCGCGTTGGAGTAAGGTACTTGGTCTCATCGGCCCAGGCATACTCGTAATGTTTACCGGCCCTCATCTCAGGGCACGATTCACTGGTACCTACTCAGTTGACCTAGACCATGACCATGATGCTCCCTGGCAATTTACAAAAGTCGCTGATTGCTCCTAGTAGAAGGTTTATCTCATTGAAGATGTCCAATGTCTTCACAGCAATCCACTCGTACTCATCCGCACCAGGAGGGACCTTCACTGCAGCCTCCAAGTCACCAGCCCCAAGGGTAGCAGCGGCCTTCGTCGTGAGCGAGTACCTGTCTGAGCCGATCGAGGCTTCACGAGGAAATGAGGAACCTCCTAATAGTTGGATTAGCGAGTAAGGGCTTCCCGACAGCCATGGTTGAGTGTGTGTGCAAAAGCTGAGAAGAAAATTGGATGGATGTAGCATCCAAGACTCCGTCGAAAACCAGTTTACTCGAAATGACTCTGCGCTCGCCCAACGTAGCAACCCGGGTGTTCAAGAAACAACATAGAATAGGCTCCTGAGAGTGCTGTTGAATAGCGCTTTTGAAGTGTTCTCTTGTAATCACGTTCAACGAACGCGCTCCCGAAATATGTCGGGAGCTCTCCTGGGAGTCAGCAAAAATTCTGTTCAAATAACAGAGCCTTGAAAAGCGCGCTTCAAAACCGCTCTTGAGAGATCTCTTTGCATCGCTTCGCTCGTAGCGCAACTTTTGATCGATTACTTTTGTACTTAGCATCTTTGACAGTTGGAAACAACGAGCCTCTTTCTTAATGAAAGAGGATCTAGTAGGCGGTTAGTGACTAACGGTTAGTCACTAACCACATACCTTAAGACAGGAAAAAACTCAAGAAACTAAGGTGAGATCGTTTCACTAACAATTTGTGAGTGAAACTTAAAAGTAAACTTTGAGTGAACTTACCCCAGAAGGGGTAAGTTTACTCAAGTTCCTCAGACTCACTCTTAAGGTAAGAAACCTTATGATCTAACGCTATTTTTTCAAGAACGGTGAATAAGGGGGTTAATTTGTATCACTAACCCACGTTCTCAAGAACGTACTTTAGATTTCGGTAAGGCCCGGCCCACCGGCGGTGGGGCTCACTCCGACCTTAACTCGCGGAATTGGAAAACTAACGTCACTACGCTCCGCCAAAATCAATGAGCGCGCGCCTCAAATCCTGTGAACACGATTTCAGGAGCGATGAGAACTCTCCTGGAAAACGCAATCCTAAGAGCACTCTCGGGCGAGCGAAGAGTACTTATTTAACATGCCGAGGAGCACTCTTCAGAGTGATCATGGGAGCGCTCCTGAGCGTAGTTCATTGAACGCGTTTTTGCCCACTCCTCTCCTGGGAGAGCTCCTGGGTTTGACAAAGGCTTTTTTGAACACCCGGAACATCACTGTACGTGTCGTCTTGATAATCGTTTCCAATGCTCCGTCGACCGTCAAGCTCGGTGTTTCTCAAAGTGGAGAGGCCCAGCGAGGACAAGACTTTATGCATACTCACACGTACTGACGAGCTTATTGTCACCATCAAGGTAAGGGTGACTCATTCCCTGCTGACAATCTGCTGAGGACAATAACCTTTGCTCAGCACAAGGTGTCCACCATGATGGAACAAGACCCTGTTGACTCAGAAAACGTCCGTCTGATCTTTAACAACCTAGTAGGTCCTCGGAACAGAGTCAGTCGACTATGTTCTGATGCTGATCAGATTCTGGAAGACCATTGCACAGTGAGAGATGCAGGCCTCACTGATGGCGAACGTGTTGATCTACTTTTAAAACTGCCCGGCACCGACTCTTTCGAACCGATGCCGAGCACGATTGAACCTTCATTAGACATGTCCGTTGTGTGAGACGATGTTGATCCTTACTACGTGTTGCTTTTCATTACAACGAAACACTGGGCATTCATCACGGAGGAGACATGAGCCTCTTACGTAACTCGCATGAGAATACTCTACTGGCAACATGATCAATCTCATGGCGAAAAGTTGTAAGTTGGTTAGACTCATGTAAACACTCGAGGAGGGTGGACCGGTGGGCGGCCGCCACGGCCAAGTCGAGGAACCGATCCGCTAATATTCCCTGAAAAGCAATCTCACAGAAAATGTCATAGGAAACCGTAAAAACATGACATTGCAGCAGACTAGACCAGAAGGAATGCCCTTACATTGAGGATATCGTCCGCGATGTGTCCGACTAGTATGCCCTCAGCATCATCACCAACTACTTGCAGCAGTGTATCCAAAATGGCTATGCTCAGGAAACTGAAAGAGGTCGCTGTACCGATGCTGAGAATTATTCTCACATTGAATCTAAGTCTTTCACTATCTTCTCATCGTCGTGGTCCACGCACTCCCCTATCTCGGGGATTCTCACTGCATGGTCGACGCTCGATCTCGAGCGGTCTAACTATGGCAAGATAGACTTAGATTTATGGCATTTGCTCCAAGAACATAATACGAAGTAATATGCTATACTAATTCAAAGGTTATATCGGACAGCTTCGTCCGACACAATCGGGAGGCTCAACGGCGAACAGCAGACCCCTGAGTGGAGTAAGCCACAACCGGACACTCCAAGGGGAAACCTGCAAGTCTTCGGTCTTCTCGAACAGATTTCCCAGTGCGAGTTTCCTCAAGTGGAACCAACCATCTCCTTCTCAATGAGAATTGAACGTGAATTGATCAAGGCTGAATTCTCATTCAGTTGGCGTGTTTGTGCATCTATTTTTCCAACACTCTAGCCTTGATCAATTCACGTGACCATGCGAATATATTTTCTCCACATGATCCTCCACGTTCGATCATCAAGCCGTGTATTCATTCTCTCGTTACCTGTCGAGATGGTCCTCAGGGATCCCGAACCCGACCGCCAGAGGATCTCCTCGATGAAGAACCAGTTCAGCCCATAACTCATCACCTCCGTCAGCTCACCACTTGACCGCCCTCCCATTAACGAGTCGCGGCCATTGCCTTGCCGACTGAGTCTGGCCTCGAGCAGACCGACCCAATTGGAAGAGTACGCCCCCCTTCTCCTTCGTCTCTTTACACTTTGACGAGATATATCGCCTTCTCAAGGAGCTTGTCAACGTATATCATAACCTTTTCAACCAACTCTCTGGAAGAAGGTTGAAAGTTCGGTTTTAGTCCTGCAGGACGCTCCCACATCCGAGCGGTTCTTCTATAAAACGACCCGTGAGGCCCAGTCTAGCCCGGTAGGACATATGCCGCTATGGATCCGACCGACGGAGAGGCCGGGAGTCCCTTCAAAGGCTGGCAAATCCGAGCGCATGGTATGTCAGGTGATGGGGGGTACCAGTGCAATCAAGGCTGAGTTGACGGGCACTTTCTTCAGCGGAGATGATTCGTGGTAGTCGCAACATAACACTGTGAGATAATTTCACAATAAAGACCGTCAGTTGTTGTGATGTGGATTATCATTCGAGTATGTTGAACTAATCTGGCACGGAGAGTAGTCCAATTAGGGAGTCTAATCATGATTCGTAAAAATTTGGGAAACAGGGAGAGCTTCAGTCTTATAGGGGCGCCTCATATCCAAGAGAAGCTTTATTGAGAATATGGAACTATGATAGTCAGCACTGTTGCCTACGAAGATCTATGGACGATAGATCGAAACCCGATCTCATTCGAGTTCAATCGTGAACTAGTCGCAACGCGCGGAGTGCCCGTCGTTACCTTCTGTCCTTGACGTCTCCTCAATGCCTCAACACACTCCTCTGCAGCCTCACGCACCTGCCCAGCGGAATGAGGGCTTCTTACGAGCAGGTTCGATGATTCCTACAGCCTCCCTTGACAACACAGCACTCATCTCATCAACAACCTCGTGAATGAGATTTCCCACCACGCTGGCAACAAGGCTAGAATAACTCTGGTAGAGGAGGTCTCTCTCAGACTTATGCGGAGGCATCGTCTGAGCGTCATAATTGTTGAATATATAACGCAACAGCTTCAGTGCTATTCGGTTTCACCAAAGTGCATGCCATGGATGTAGTTGTGGTAGATCTGGTCACCAACACCGAATGGCTCGTTGAACTCCTCAAAAGTGAGCTCTCCAAATTCGTGATAACTGCATTAGGAGTCATCTTTCACTACGTACGAAGAAACCTTTCCTCATCACCCGAGTGAGTCCCATATGAACAAGGCCAGCTCCTTCAATTCGAAAGCTCGAGTAAAAGAAGGCTCCCCACTAGGACTCACACAGAAGGTCTTAATGATAGCCCTGACGACCTCATTACGGGCTAAAGAGCCTAGGGCAAAGCCTTCCCAGTTGCAGCTGTCGTTAACACCCACCGCTCTGGTCCCCGTCCCAGAAATCGAACCACGCTAGTGGATGAGCGTCTAGGTCGGGAATTTCGTTTGGTCGCAAGTTGAGGTCTTCAATCTTGATGCCGGTGAAATTTCTGAGGAGGTACCTGTGGTCGGGAGTTCAATCCCTGGTATCGGCACTTCATGGTCAACAAGCAAATACGTGCAGCTCAACAAGGGCGTCAATTCACGACAGAACCTACTCCCGCAGCCCTCTACGAGGCTCCACGAATTCCGCGAGGGTTATGGAACCATCATCGTCGGGATCCCACACACTCCAATTTTCCTCGATCAACCTGAATGATACATAACCGAACGAGTCCCGCCATGCGTCATACTCGACAAGTTTGTCTCTTCGCACTGGCAGAACTGCTCCAATCGCGCCGAGGACCTCCTCCTTATCAAGAGTGCCCCCATAGTCGGTGTCGCAGAGCTGGAACCACGCTCTGGGATCCTGACAACAGCGGCGCGGGTCTCGTAAGCACCCCTTAATGGGATCTGGTGCACTGAGGTTCGAAGAACACACCTTGAAGACGTCAGGTAAGGTCTTAATGTCGCTAAATCTCCCTCTACATATAGGACACTCGTGCACTGCTAAGTGGCCCGTCCCACGTGCCTCTTTCCTGGACAGACAAGTTCCAACACCGACAGCGGTAGATTTCTACACGTTTTTAGCGATTAATCGCTTGATGCACTCTGTATGGAAGTAGTGGGGACATATTCGTCTACTCTGCAAACGGAGAACACCTACTGGGAGACGATAAAGTTCGAAGTAGCAGATGGCGCATTCGTTGTATCTGCCTTCAGAATAACGAGAATGTGTTCGAGCAAGGCACAGCCTGACCTCTCTGCTAGGCTCAATGATTCGTACCGTTGCGACAATACTGTAGGTGCCAGCCACTGTGGAAGGATCTCCTGCTTCACTACAGTGAGCACCTAGTGTCGGGTAGAGGACGTGTACCACAGCTGAAGGCGACGAAGATCGTACCAATCCAGTTTGGTCATTCCTCCACTCCCTCTCCGATTCGACGGCCCTGACTATATCACAGGGTTCCTCGGTATCCCATGACAACGTGAGCACCTTAAGAGGGAGAATCCCGTTATGGATCTTCCATTGAATCGCCCCGACTGGAGCCTCAACATAATTTCGGCTCACATTTTCGGCGAGGCGCCATACGCCGACAAAGTGGCGCCGCCTAGAATAGAACATACCCTGGTCGGGAGTATGGTCATCAGGCTCGTTGAAGAGCAGAAAATCATCTTCGGTCCAATCGGGATGCCTCGCCTGAATGCAACGATTACGCAGTCAACAACATGAAACTTCGTAACAGAGGTCCCCGATAGCTGGCTCGGTTGAGCTGAGCCCCATTGCATTTCGAATGCATTAAATATCAGCGCTCGTAGTGTAACGGTATCATACAAGCTTCCCATGCTTGTGTCCCGGGTTCGACTCCCGGCGGGCGCAGATCTATTTTACCTCCATGCTCACGGTTGTTGAATGAGGCCGAACAGCGTCAGCGTTCCCATTTACTCTGCGACGGGGCTTCTTAGAACCTGAGAAAATTCGACTACGTACAAGATTCTGTTCAGGATACTGCGTAACGACCCAGTCTAGAGACTCCCATCCCACCTTGGGAACGTCTTCGGACTCCCCGTAGGGCCGCAATTCCCATACGGGACACAAAGTTGGAGGTGAAGGAACTCCTGGGCGTCCGCGAAAGTCCGCGCACCATGCGTATGCGTAGCCTAGCATTCGATCGATTCAGGTTAGCGGTCATGGAATGGGTATATCAATGGATTTACCTTTGGGAGAGTTCCCCATAGACTTCGACTCCGCATCTGGAAGCTTGTAGTTGTCGCGTCACTCCTCAATACTTCTACTATCTGCGCGCCCTCTGTAACTGACCAATTACGTATCGATGCTCCATTTAGTTCCGTCAGCCCATATGTTTACTTCGCCTACACGGGAGTCGTGTTCGGCAACGCAGCTCGCGACTGCAACACAAGACTGGCAGCCTCCTCCTCCTCTTACTGGAGACTCTGAATTCGAGACCCCAGTCTTGATAGGTGTAGGGTGCATCTCTTCTCCTCCTACTTGAAGTTTTTGTTATTGTCCATTACAGACATTATACTTGACTATCAACACCAGTCAATGGAAAGACAAAGAGCAAACCCTCGAGCTCTGGTCGGACCGATCTTCATGGCGCATTGGGAGGGACGGCACCAACGATGTGGAGGTCCCAGACCCCAAGGTCTCAACGGTCCACGTAGGAGTCGTAGTAGAAGGGCTCTTCTAGGGTTACGAAGCTTCACTAGGTGCGGATAGATCATGACCCGTCAAAGGCGGGCCAAGACGACCAGATTACTATCACTGATGTTTCCCGTAACGGCACATATCTCGGCTCGAGACGGCTGATAGGCAACAAGAGCGAAGTTCTGAGGTAAAGAGGAGGGGCTCATGCTGAGGCAGTATTGGAATATATGTTTGGTTTCCTCAACTGATTTCGTAAGTTCCCTCACTATATTATGAAAAATCCGGCGATTTTGGGTATAAGTATACAAAAATCAAGGATAATTTCCTCAAAGTTTCCATATTCCTAGCAACACATGTAGTTGACCATGTGCATATATTCCCACACTGTGCTGAGGGGCCATGCCTTGTGCTAATAGGCCGGGGGAAAGCTTCTCATTGGTTACTAGCCCCTTCATAAGGGGCCATCCGGAGCCTCTGCTTCGTGCGATGTGGAAGCCCCTGGGATTTGAGGACCCCTTGGAGGAGGAGCTTATGCATGATGCCGTGGTGGGCCTGACTCAGGCGATGCCCCCAGCGGCTACTCAAGGTATCTATGGACACTACATGCCGCGATTTTACGGTATTTCTATCAGTTCGGGAGGAAGTCCCTGCCCCTAGGAGAAGGAAGGATCGCGATACTGTTGGGCAGCAGGACCCTGTCATAGCTCAGCTCAGTGGAGATATAAAGTACATCATTATGGCGGCTATTCGGTCAAAGGACATGTACCTTCAGATTCCAATGGAGACCATCGACCTCTCGAGTCACTCGAGGCCTGCGTAGTTCCATCACCATTGGGCGCAGTCCTTCTTGCAGTATCGTCTTGAGCGACGATAGAGTGTCCGGCACGTAGGCTCGAGGGCTCTGTACTGGAGGCTCGTGAGGGGCCATGGTCAGGCATGTTACTCTGGAGCACGACGGCAAGGCCTTCCACATAATTGACTCGTCGACCAACGGGACGTTTTTGAATGACAAGAAGTTGCCTAAGAAACATGTGGGTTTAGCAGTCACTCCTTTCCGGCTGAGGAGTTTTGACGTTTTCAGATGCACCCGTTGAAATCAGGAGATCACGTGTCGTTGGCAAGTCAGGGAAAAGATACGGTGGCGCTGGGAGTTGATCCTGGGATAGTAGGATGACAGCAGAGGATTCTCCCTACTGGACTACTTTTGCTTTTTGTTCAAGGAATTCACATTCAGAGCTGTCCTGATGGAGTACAATTACACCGGTGTATTACTTGGCACGGATGACAGCTTGAAAGTGGACCGTCCTCTCGGCAAGAAGGTCATCAGTTCACCCTCGTATGAGGCGTCCGATCCTCCCAAGGACACCGCCGGACGTGCCCTGGAGGACTTGTAATATGGGGGGAGGGCGTCGGGTCTCATGAGGAGGCAGGTACTATATCAACGCTCGTCTCGGGCAAGGGAACTTCGCGACGGTTCATAGTGCGACGGAGAAAAAGGAAGGGGGGAAGCAGGTGGCCGTGAAGGAGTTGGATTTGGCTAAGCTGCTGAAGTTCCAGCAAAGCACCAAGTCTAATAGCGTCACATTTCGGTAGGCTTGGGTCATACCACTCCTTTCTGAACTCCACTTTCTGTTCCCCATCAGGTCCGAGTTCGAAGTCCTACGGGAGTTGGACCATCCAGCTATTGTCAAATTTTATACGTACTTCGAGAACCATCGAAGCCTCTTTATTGTAACAGAATTGATGCAAGGCGGAGACCTGTTGGAAAGACTCCTCAGTCACGGCGCGTAATACCACACCTTCGTCTCATCGTGATGAGCTATCAGGTATCGAGAGCCTGATGCTCGAGTGCTCTTCCGCGACCTCTGCAGTGGAGTTGCTTATATGCACAGCCACAACATCATCCATCGGGACCTCAAGCCTGAGAATGTATGTAGGGGATTGGCTTGGTCCCGGAGGTCTCTGGTTCGAATCCCAGCCGCTCAATTTTTACCGTCTTGGACGTGTATAGTGCTGTTGAAGATACTACTAACGGCAGACCAGCGTCATGGGAAGATATCGGACTTGGGCCTGGCGCGGCACACAAATCCCCTTACGGGAGAGGCTGCAGGTAGAGGTGCTATTATTATATGATGATGTTGATATATAAATTATCAATATGGCGACTATTAATTGATTATAATATCGATATAGTAGTGGATGAATATAAATAATACATAATGTTAGTAACTGCGAAGCCTTTGTTGTAGGGACGTACTGTGGGACGCCGCATTACT